GATGAAAGTAAGTCAAGCATTGAACCTCAGAGAAGGTTGAACCCCAATCTAAAGGAAGTAGTGAAGAAAGAGATACTCAAGTTGCTTGATGCTGGGATAATCTATCCCATCAGTGATAGCACTTGGATATCTCCAGTTCATTGCGTCCCAAAGAAAGGGGGGATCACTGTCATTAAAAACGACAAAGAGGAGCTGATTCCCACTAGAACAATAGTGGGGCATCGCATGTGTATTGACTATAGGAAGCTAAATTCAGCATCTAGAAAGGATCATTTCCCTCTCCCTTTCATTGATCAGATGTTAGAAAGATTGGCAAACCACCCTTTTATTGTTTTCTTGATGGCTACAGTGGTTTCTTCCAAATCCCGATCCACCCTAATGATCAGGAGAAGACCACTTTCACATGCCCTTATGGCACCTTTGCTTATCGAAGGATGCCATTTGGGCTGTGCAATGCTCCAGCTACTTTCCAGAGGTGCATGACCTCCATTTTTTCAGATCTGATAGAGGAGATGGTAGAAGTCTTCATGGACGATTTCTCAGTCTATGGAGCATCCTTCTCCTCATGTTTGTCTAACTTGTGCAGGGTGTTGCAGAGGTGTGAGGAGACCAATCTAGTACTCAACTGGGAGAAGTGCCACTTCATGGTTCGAGAAGGGATTGTGCTTGGACACAAGATTTCCGAGAAAGGGATCGAGCTCGATCGAGCTAAGGTGGATGTCATGTTGCAGCTCCCTGTTCCCAAGACTGTGAAGGACATAAGGAGTTTTCTGGGTCACGCAGGGTTCTACAGAAGATTCATCAAGGATTTCTCAAAGATAGCAAGACCCTTGACAAGGCTTCTATGCAAGGAGACAGATTTTGAGTTTGATGAAGAATGCCACAAGTCTTGGACCTTGCTGAAGGATGCTCTGGTGTCTGCGCCAATAGTACAAGCTCCAAACTGGGATCACCCATTTGAGATTATGTGTGATGCATCTGACTATGCAGTAGGAGCAGTGCTTGGCCAAAAGATAGACAAGAAACTCAATGTCATCTACTATGCAAGCAAGACTATGGATGATGCTCAGTGCAAGTATGCAACCACAGAGAAGGAGCTCCTTGCCATAGTCTTTGCCTTTGAGAAGTTTCGAAGCTATATAGTTGGATCCAAGGTGATTGTGCACACTGACCATGCTGCCCTTAGACACATCTTCGCTAAGAAAGATACAAAGCCAAGACTTCTCAGATGGATCCTTTTGCTTCAAGAGTTTGATATAGAAGTTGTGGACAAAAAGGGAGTAGAAAATGGAGTTGCTGATCATCTCTCTAGGATGCGAGTTGAAGACATGATCCCCATCAATGATTCTATGCCTGAAGAACAGCTTATGGCAATCATGATCTTGAAGGAGAGTTTTGATGAGAAAGCCAGGCTGGAAGAAGTTAAGGCTCTGCGTGATGAGAATTTGCCATGGTATGCTGATATAGTGAACTTCATGGTGTCCGGAGAAGTCCCTAGTAGCTTTGATGCTTACAAGAGGAAGAAATTCTTCAAGGATGCTAGGCATTACTATTGGGATGAGCCCTACCTGTACAAGAGAGGACCAGACAGCATTTACAGGAGATGCATTGCTGAAGAGGATGTGCAAGGAGTTCTAGAGCATTGCCATGGGTCAGCTTTACGGAGGTCACTTTGCTACATTCAAAACAGCAACTAAGGTTTTGCAATCTGGGTTTATGGTGGCCTACTTTGTTTAAGGATGCAGCAGACTACATTGCCAAGTGTGATCCATGCCAAAGGAAAGGAGGGATCACCAAGAGGGACGAGATGCCACTAAACCCAATTCTAGAGGTTGAGATCTTTGATGTATGGGGAATAGACTTCATGGGACCTTTCAAACCTTCTTCAAACGGGCACAACTACATTTTGGTTGCTGTAGACTATGTATCCAAATGGATTGAAGCCATTCCCTGCCCAACCTGTGATGCCAAGGTGGTTGTCAAGCTTTTCAGAACCATCATCTTTCCAAGGTTCGGCATCCCAAGGGTTGTTATTTCGGATGGAGGCTCCCATTTCATCAACAAGGTGTTTGAAAAGTTGATGAGAAGCCATGGAGTCAAGCACAAGGTCGCCACGCCTTATCACCCTCAAACCAGTGGGCAAGTTGAAGTCTCCAACAGACAGATCAAGGCCATATTGGAGAAGACTGTGAGCTTCACTAGGAAAGACTGGGCAGCAAGGCTTGATGAGGCACTTTGGGCTTATAGAACAGCTACAAAACCCCCATTGGAAGGTCTCCTTTCAATTTGCTGTATGGGAAGGACTGCCACTTACCTGTGGAGGTCGAATATAAGGCTTTATGGGCAGTAAAGATGCTGAACTTTGATATAAAGGCAGCACAAGAAAGGAGGGTAATGAACTTGTTTGAGCTGGAGGAGATAAGAATGAATGCCTATGAGAACTCTAGGATTTACAAGATGAGAACCAAGGCAGCCCACGACAAACTGATTCGCCTTAAGGACTTCAAGGTTGGGGACAGTGTGCTCTTGTATAACTCCAAGCTAAGGTTGTTTCCCGGGAAGCTGAGGTCAAAGTGGGCGGGACCATTCAAGATTCACGAAGTTCTACCCTATGGGTCCCTCACTTTGCTCAATCAAGAGGGGAAGGAATTCACAGTGAATGGACATAGATGCAAGCCATATCTAGGAATGACCCCCACAGAGGAGATCATCACTCCTCTAGAAGATCCAACCCCGGCCTAAAAGGGGTAAGGTCAAGCTAAGAGACCTAAAACAAGCTCACTTGGGAGGAATTCCCATGTCTATCTTATGCATTTATACTTTATCCTTTTATTTTTATGATTTTTCTTGGCTAGTCTCACAGGAGCAGGTTTTAGGAAGACGAGTGGCTAACTCGAGGCACAACTCGATCGAGTCAAGAGCAAGCTCGATCGAGTGAGCCGAACCCAGTTGAGTGGAGCGCTCCTGATGGCCGTCTCCCATCTCCAGACCACGACCTAGCTCCCAGTTCTTTGGGGGACACTGAGGTATCCAAACACCAACCCTTGTATATACCATTTCATATTTTCTTGCATTTGTTCTTGTTTTTTCTTGGTTTTGCCCTCTTGAATCTTTCACTAAATTTTTCTCACACAAGGGACTGTGTGATTTAAGTTTGGGGGAGGGTTCAAGAGATGATTTAACCTTGTTTTCTTTGTTCTTAGTTTTTCATTTATCTTTTGCATAGAAAAACCAAAAAAATCATAAAATTTTCAAAAAATCCAAAAATATTTTCATCTTTTTGCATTCATATTTGTTAGACTTGTTTAGGATTGCATTTTTCACTTGCATTGTTGATTTGACTTTGAAAACTTGTCCATCTTTTGCGATTTCTTGAGTGCCCTGTTTTTAGATTCTTTTGTGCATTAGGGTGAGATTGATTGAGCAGCAAGAACCATGTTTATCTTGATCATATCACTGCATGCACATCTCATTCAACCATTGCTGTGATTTGATGCATTTCCCTATCTATTTGAACCATAACTTGATCTTTAATTACCAATGCTTGCATTTGATTTCAACTCATGGCTACCACATACATATCTGGACATTCTTTACCTATTTTCATATCCCTTTTGCTTGTCCAGATAGCTGATCTCTATCTTTGAGACAGTTACCACACCTTAAACCTAAGCCTTTTCATTTCAAACCCCATTTTATCTCTTGTGCGAATGTGAGAACCTTTCTTGGCTTTGCTTAGCATAAGGTGTTGTGTTTAAACCGGCAGGGGCAGTAGTTCTAGTTGTCTAGTTCTCTTGGGATTGTTTTCAGGCTAAGTTTGGGGGTGCCAACTCGAGCTCGATCGAGTTGGGTGTAAAAACCAGAAAAGTGGTAAAAGTTGGGAAAAACCCAAAGGAAAAAGAGTTTAGTTAAGTCCAGGGAGTTGGCAGTGTTAAAAAGGGTCTAGTAAAGGTTTGGGAAGTTAAAAAAGGAAAGTAAAAAGGGTTCTAAGTAGAATGAAAAGAAGGCAAAGCCTCAAGTGTCCAAAAAGGAAAGAAAAGTTCCCTAAGTGTTTAGAAAATCCCAAACCGCTAGATGTTACCTCAAGAAGCCTCTCCCTAGGAAGTTCTTAAAAGAAAAGTGAGCAAAGCTCCTCAGTTTCAAAGGCGAAATGCCAAAAAGGGTAGTTAGGATTTTGTTCTAAAAAGCTCTAAGTGTTGAACTCGATCGAGTTAGGATTAGGCGGCTCGAGCTGCTGTTCTTGCATCATCTTTGGTTCTAACACTTAGCCTTCTGCCAAAGCAAAGCCACTTTCTTGAGAGATCCCTGTTACTAAACCACCATACAAAAGAGACCCTCTTTGTCTCTTAACCCATAAACCCTTGAAACCAAATGAGTTGATTGATCTTGCATGTTTTTGGTTCACTGTTTTTGCTTAATGAATGTTAAAGGGATTTGCTGATTTGAATGCACTGTGAAGTGGGATTGATGTTGATAAGCATGGTTAAATCTTAATGAATATCTCTCACCTTGTTGCATTCTAGAATCTCTAAGTTGGACATTTAGCAAATCGCTTTTGAGGACATGTTTTTAAGTGTTGAATCAGCTATTTTCAAACCTCATCTCTTTCTTGTTCTATTTGTTTGCTTGAGGGCAAGCAAAGTTCAAGTTTGGGGGTGTTGATGTACTTGCATTTTACATAGTTTTAGCACATCTTTTATGCATCTTTTGCATAGTTTTAGCTTCCATTTGCATCATATCTTGTTCCTTTTCTCTTCTTATGCATTCATGTTAGTTTTAGGTTGCATTTGCATACATATGCATGTTTGGTCCTTTGAAATAGGTCTTTTGGAGCATTCTGGAGCATATGGGACAAGGAGCATGGAGGGACTTGGCACATGGAAGCAGCTCAACTGGATACGCAAAGGAAGAAGGGAGAAGCCATCTTGAAGACCAGCTCGACCGTCTACTCGACCAACCGGTCGAGTTCCTCAACTCGACCGGCCAAGCTTCAACTCGATCGAGCTGGAGTCAAAGTCAAACCCGAAAAATGTTGCTTCCCCCTTGACTTCCTTTGACCCTAAACCTAATCCTCTTGTATTTAAAGGCTCTAAGCCACGAAAAAACCACCAAGCTTTAGATTATTTTGTTTTAGTTTCTTTTAATTTATTGTCTTTTACTTTTTAGAGATCTAATCCCATCTTTGTGTTCTTGAAGCTCTTGCTTCTTGAATCTTAGATCCTGGATAATCTCTCTTGTATTTGCACTTGCTTATTTCAATAAAAGTTGTTTAATTTCATCTCCTCTTTCTTATGATGTCTCTTTTATTGCATTTGCTTGTGTTTACATTCATGTGTAGTGAGTAGTTACCCATTAGGGTTTGAGATGGGATAGATTAGAGGTTTCATATGCTTAATCCTTCTAGCTTATGGTCTTAATCTAGATTCTCTCTCTTTTGGATAGATCTTAAGGCTACATGACCACTACCCCTGGCTTGTAAGTCCTTAGGCGACTCCCCACACGAAAGTGATGGCATTCGCTGGAAAAGATCCACTAAGAGCTCCAATATCTCTTGCTCTAGACAATAGAGGTCTAAGGGGTTGGATGGATTAGTTTGGGCAATGATCCTATAGCCTCCAAGGTTTGATTCTCACTGGCTAACCCCCTGTTTCTGAGATCATTCCTTGGTTGATAGCCTCCACCTTGGGAAAGGGTTGGCTAGGCATTGAGAAGCCCAATATCAAGAGAAGCCTTGATACAAGGAGTTTTAAGAGCTAGATTGATTAAGTGTAGATTCCTTTGATTGCAAAACCCTGTCTTGAACCCTAATTCTCTCTTTATCTTGTTAAAGTCGTCACCTTTAGCTTTGTTTGTCTCAACTCGTCCCTAAACTCGATCGAGCTGGTACTTTGCTCTACTCGACTCGAGCTCTTGGTCGAGCTGACACTTCACTGCTTTGTTTACTTTTATTGCACTGCTTTTCATTTTTTTAGGTTGTTAGTGTTACTTCAAATCTATAACTGCTTGCTTGACTTTCGGTTGTTTCATATTCTCAAAGAGTGACAAGTTTCCCATTTTGGATTGATAACCTCTTATACTTCAATGACTATGATGGTTAAGAGGAATTGATTGATTGTGATTGCACCATACCATTCATCTTTATTCACCCCTGTTTGCATTCCACCTCATTTCATATCATTCACACACACACAAATCCTATCATCAAGGGGGGAAGCAACATTTTTCGGGTTTGACTGTTAACTTCTCAGCTCGATCGAGTTGAAGCTTGGCCGGTCGAGTTGAGGAACTCGACCGGTTGGTCGAGTAGACGGTCGAGCTGGTCTTCAGGATGGCTTCTCCCTTCTTTCTTTGCGTATCCAGTTGAGTTGCTTCCATGTGCCAAGTTCCTCCATGCTCCTTATGTCCCATATGCTCCAGAATGCTCCAAAAGACCTATTCCAAAGGACCAAACATGCATATGTATGCAAATGCAACCTAAAACTAACATGAATGCATAAGACGAGAAAAGGAACAAGATATGATGCAAATGAAAGCTAAAACTATGCAAAAGATGCATAAAAGATGTGCTAAAACTATGTAAAATGCAAGTACATCACAAGTGCAAATACAAAGCAAATAAACCTAGATCTAAGGTTCAAAGAGCATGAAGCTCAAGAACACAAAGAGAGTCCGTCCGAATGGGAGGCTGTTCTCCAATGGCTTCCATTAGCTTTCCCCAGCAAAGATCTGTCTTTGGCGATCCTTTAAACCTGGCACGCTTGTATCTATGAATTATAGGGTTAGAGAAACCGCAGGTTTCATCTGGGAGTCACTTGTCCATCTAGGAAAATCATTCGCCTAGTTCTCTCGGTGGTTCATGACCGAGCCCAGAGCCTTGCTCTTCAGTCTCCAAAAAGACAAAGCTTGTTGTCTTGCTAGTCCTAAGTTCTTTTGGGCCTCCTTCGTTTCTTTGGGCCTCAGCCCTCTCTCTAAATTATTGTAATATATAACTCTATATGAGTGGTTTCATCTCATTCTCTTGTAACTTCTTTTTTTATTTATTCAAGCTAAGCCCTTTATCAAAAAAATAGAAAAAAATATTTTAAGAATTTGATTGTAGAGGATCATTTATAGGATCATTTCCCAATATGTTTAGAACAATGTGGTCACACATTTTTTGAATTTGGCTTTTTAAGACCATTACTAGTAGAGTACCCGCACGTTTGTGCGGTGTGACGTTGTGGTTTTGTGTAGAAAATTTAAACCCTAAATCCGAACCCAACCAAAAAATCCTAATCAAAAATTTTAAAAACCCTAACTTTTTAATATGTCTAAACCCGTAAATCCAAAATCAAAAAAATCCTGAAAACCCTGAACTGAACAAAAAAAATCTGGAAACTTTTTCACCCCGAACCCGACCCAAATACCCTAATCAAAAATTTAAAATACTCAATTTTTTTAAATATATCTAAACCTGAAATCCAAAAAATCCGGAAAACCCTAAACTGAAAAAAAAAAACTCGAACCCAACCCGAACAGAAATTTTGAAAAAAAAACCCGAACAATTTCTATATCTCTATATCTCTAAAAATTAGGTCTCCGATTTTCACCCAAACCCGAACTTGTCTATAAAAACTTGAAAATCCAAAAAGCTTATTTTATTGATTTGGAATTATTGTTAAGATTATGTTAAGTTTTTTTTTGCAGATTTTTTTGCATATTCTTGTATTCAAACATTACAATGTACTAAATTGACTCTAACTAACATTACAAACACTTTCTCTTCATAATTAGATTGGTTTTTTGGTCATAAATTTTTCATGTACTTCTCAATTAATAATATAAAGATAGGATTATTTCCCAATATGTTTAGAGCCTAAACTGAATACTAATCCATGATAAAAGCATCCCTCTCAACATAATTTTCGCTAATCTATTAGCTATTTCATTTTGGTCAAAGTTATTAATTAATTACATTGTACTAGGTTAAAACCCGCGCTATGTGCGGGTAGTATTGTTACTTTTTTTTATCTAAAGTGTTTTTTTCATGTTTGTGAAGCTTTTTTTTTTTAAAAAGTACAAGATAATACTAATACGATAATCTCTCCAGTGTTTCTTTAGTATATTAAATTTTTTTTCCAACAATCATGTGACGTGATGACTAACATTATGAGATTAATTATCTCTCATTTCTAGGTCCCAATTCTGACACCATACACAAATTTAGCAGAAGTGAATGACATTGAATCTCACATAAGTGAAACTCCGACATATTCAGTTAATTAATCAGTTATTTTAAATTTTGAGTTGATTTAAGAGATCTAAGAGAATGAAAGTCAGACTTAAATTTTGAGTTTATTTTGAGTATATTTAAGAAAATGAAAGTCAGTTAATTAATCAGGCATCAGAGAATGCATGATCAGCTTTAATTTTTTTGGTCTTCTCTACTTCAATGAAACTAAATTGTCAACTATGTCAAAAAAAATGGTAATATATTCACAATTCTGACAATGTAATTCCGCTGCCATAATTTTAATATAAATCAAAACTTTTATATATGTTTCAGAGTTACTAATATATTCACAATTCATTTGCCATCAAAAGATCATATAGCTTTCACAAAATTGAAAAAAATTCATCTTTAAAATATTGTTTTGTATAGTTTGGTTCTAAACCATTTTCATATGAGATGCTCTCAATTTTATTTTTTAAAAGATGAAATTTCTCAGTTTTCAATGCATTTTTTTTTAAGTAATACTAATT